ATATAGGGTGATGCATTTGAAAAACCAAAGTTACTAGTAATATAAGAGAAACTAAAAATCTGGCAACATTGCAAATACCAAATATGGAATCTCCGTATCCCAAAATAGGCGAATCTCAAATTTTGTATAATTATGTCTAATAATTTACGAGATAATTAGACGTTTCCAGACTTTTGGCCGACTCTGTATATCGAAACTGTGAAAGATGTATAATTCTACAATGGAGGAACATCTAAAAATAAGACAGTGCTTCTTCAGAAATATTTTTGTACGACAGTACAACATTGGTTTTGGATCAACAAAAGTTCAAGATGTATGTTCACAATGTCTCCAATTTTCAGAAAAAATGAAAACAATCACAAACCCACAAGAAAAAAAGATTATGACAAAACAGCGCGTACACAAACTGCATAGTACAGCGTTTTATGAATTAAAAGAAGATAATTGTACCGTAGCAATATTTTTCTTAGATTGCCAAAAGAATCTACCACTACCAGAGATTTTAGACCATGTCTGCTATTTTAGTATTCAAATAAATTTGTACAATTTTACAGTTGTAACTGAAAATTCAAAGTCCCCACTTAATCCTGAATCAGTAAAATCGTTTATAGTCCAGGCTGTGAGGCCGCTCCCGTTGGGAAAATGTTTTTGATTCGGTTTCTTCGCGGATTCCGGTTAAAAAATGTCCCCTTTAAACAAATCTGAAGGGTGCCGGGCGAAATTTTTAGGCAGAAATTGTTTAAACAATTTTTTTTAAACAAATTCCAAAAATATTTTTCTTAATCTGGAAAACGTTTTTTTAGTTTTTTGGTCATTTTAAACAAAAAAGGTTTCTTGTCATTTTTCTCTAAAGTTGATAGTTTTCGAGTTATAAGCAATTTAAAGTCTGAAAAACGCGAAAATACGCATTTTTGAGGCTTGAAAACACATATGTAAATTATTATTTTTGAGGTTACCAAGTGTCTAAATTGAAGTTTAAACATTCAACTTCAAGATTGTGAAGAGTAATCGGGGCTTATTTTAATTTAGACCGTTGTTTTTTAATTGTTAAATATGCGCGTACACTCGATTTTTCAGCCGCCGCGGCCGCGGCGCTAGAGTGCGCTTCTATCGTACTTATGCATAGTTTACATACACTTACGCAAAAAAACCCGAACAAATCCTTGAAGTTTATTAACATAGTTTTTTCCATAATTTATTTATGTAGGTATTAATTATTGTCATTGGGCTAATTAAATAAATCAATCATCGCAATGTAATAACCGTATATAGTTTTTTTTTCTTCCAAATTTGAACAATATAATTATTATTTATTGAGTATATATTTATTTATATCAATTGTAAATAATATTTTTAAATTATTATTTAAATAATACAATGCAGTAAATATTAATATTAGTAAACTTAATTTTAAATTGCGCGGTGTTTAAAAACAATATACTATCGCAAAAATGCAAGTTTTTACCTGTTTAACAATCGCGCGCTCATACTTGATTTGTTATTACTTAAACGATCATTAGGAAGACTATTGTTTAATGCCCATTAAAAGGGTATTATATTATTAATGTGTTATTAAAAAAATTGTGAATGGATTTAAAATGTCTTTTTCCGTACCTCTTCTTAAATGAAAACTTACCGAAGAAAATTTAGTTTGTATTTTTTGTAATAACATCAACAATATTAAGTTAGTGCAAAAACCTAAAGTAGATTTTTACATAACAATACAAAATGCTGCTCTTCGACGAAAAGACAGTGTGACTGAAAAATTTAATTTAATCTAGCCAATATACCTTGTACCTCTGACGCACTTTACCAACACTTGTTAAGAGCTTTCGCTAAAACATATATTTGGCGAAATGCCATATATTCCCGCTATCAAACTCTCGATTTTACACAATATGGATATTATATGTCTGATAGTGGTGGGTTGGGAAACCGTGCAAATGCAAAAAGACTTGCAAAACTAATGCTTGCAACTGCAAGAAAAATCATGTCAACTGTGTACCATTATGTGGATGTGATTTAGATTTTTGTGAAAACAAAGATACTTTTACTGAGTGATATTAGTGTGTTATTTAACAATTTTTTGTACAATTATTTTATGTAACTATTATTAGACTTTAGACGAAATTTATATTATAACTCAATTGATATAAATAAATATATACTCAATAAATAATAATTATTTGTAAGTATATGTAAACTATGCATAAGTACGATAGAGGCGCACGGTAGCGCGCGGCGCCGCGGCGGCTGAAAAATCGAGTGTACGCGCATACTTAACAATTAAAAAACAACGGTCTAAATTAAAATAAGCCCCGATTACTCTTCACAATCTTGAAGATAAATGTTTAAACTTTAATTTAGACACTTGGTAACCTCAAAAATAATAATTTACATATGTGTTTTCAAGCCTCAAAAATGCGTATTTTCGCGTTTTTCAGACTTTAAATCGCTTATAACTCGAAAACTATCAACTTTAGAGAAAAATGACAAGAAAATTTTTTGTTTAAAATGGCCAAAAAACCTAAAAAAATATTTTCCAGATTCAAAAAAAAATATTTTGGACTTTGTTTAAAAAAATTGTTTAAACAGTTTCTGCCCAAAAATTTCGGCCGACACCCTTCAGATTTGTTTAAAGGGGACATTTTTGAACCGGAATCCGCGAAGAAACCGAATCAGAAACATTTTCCCAACGGGAGCGGCCTCACAGCCTGGACTATTAATTATATGGATATAAATGATCACTAAAGGAGATTAAATGAGATTGTTTTCACACATTGACGAACTTTAATTTTAATAAAGGGATAGAGAAAGTGCATTTAGTAGCTGATGGTTGTGACTTCCAAAAAAAGAATATCAAAATGGTTGGAATGGTTCAATACTGGTATACTACAATGGTATGCTCCTCTTCATATAGTATATATAACACGTATATCCCGTATTCGCTCGGTCTTTCCTTCACCATGATTGATTATTTGCTCTGAAGAAGCTGCTGAAGAAAAGTTAAAAAATGTGCCACCATAAAATTGATCCAGAAAAGTATATTAATTTTATTAAAGGTTATTCTACAGTGCTCAAAGCACTGTAAAAGCATTGCTACTTTGAGCAAGTCAAAGAATTTACATATCTTGGATCGCTAGTAAACGCAACAAACACTACAAGCGACGAAATAAAAAGACGCATAGCAATAGCAAACAGAACTGTTCACGGTCTCCAGAAACATTTATAAAATAAAAATATAAAACATGCAGTATAGCTTAATTACCTTTATAAGACCGGTTTTGATATATGGGGCTAAAATGGACCTTATCTCAAAATGATGAAAGACATCTTGGTATTTTTGAGAAAAAATTCTTAGAAATCTTTTTGGGGCCGTACATAAAAATTTGGTAGGGCGTCCAAGATACAACTTTGTACTATATCAGTTATACACCGATCTAGATATTTAGAAATTCGTTACAGTGCAGAGAACAAGTACACGAAGAGATTAACATTTTCAAAACCAGATGGCACAAGAAGTAGAGAGCGACCACGAATGAGATGGATTGATGATGTTGAAGAATATCTACAGATTCTAAGGCTTAAAAGATGGAGGGAAGTTGCCAGGAATCGACAGAAGTGGCGACTTCTTTGTGAGCAGGCCAAGACTCACAAAGGGTTGTTGAGCCACTTATGATGATGGTTGTACAGTGCTGAAGATAGGAGAAGATTACACAGTTTTTTACTGAAAAGGTAAGCTGCAAAAATTTCTTAAGTCCTGGATCCGGCATTTTCGATGTCAACCATCTAAACGATTATTATTTTTAAAAAACAAGGAAGTGTCTGTTTAGATCAGAGGCTAATAAGTTATAAAAATGTGCTTTCTTAGCTCAAGAGCATCTGCAAGAAAGAAAAGAATATGACTCAAATCCAATTAAAACCATCGAGTCTAGAGAGAAGTTTAAAACCAGATAAAATAAAAAGCATATCAACTTCGATAACGAAACACTTCGGGGTGAATTGGGCGGCTGATGAACGTCTTCATTTCTTTACAAAAGCTTTTAACTACTTGAAAAACACTAACCAGGCGGAAAATCATCCTGTGGGTACGGAAGATCATCCTGAAGGTGCAGAAGAGGAAAATATGAATAATTCATCTGATACTGAAGATATGTCGGTCAGATAGCCAAGCGGGCTGGGCGGCCGGTTCTCATTCGCTTTACTGCGAGTGGTTCAGTGGATGTGGGTTCGATCTCGAGCTCCGTGTACAGAAAACAAAAAAGCTAACGCAGGAGTTTAAAATTCAAGATGAATCTGCGGCTTAGATTAGAATATGCTGGTGTCTGATCGGCCTATGGTGGAGCAGTACGGCAAGAGATAAGGGCTTGCGGCTCGGTGATACTCCTCCATAGATTCCTACCGAAAGCTTAAATACCGGTGTATAGGTATAATGAAGATAATATTATCTTAATAATTTAGTCTGGTTTTGCATTTATACGCTTCATATTATCTTAACATTTTACTTTTTGGATGTAATATACTAGTGAAACATCGATTATTCTAACTTTGCATTGCTATTAGAAACTTGAGTTTAAACTCCTAAAACTTGATATTGAGTTATTAATAACTATTTCCGTCCAAACAATGGCCCGCCCAATTCGAAACGTCAACTTGTGGCTTAAACTATGATAGTCAATAATAGATGGATTTGAATAGGGAAATAATGATGAGAACACGAGTTCCAATAGTTTTCGGCTATGTAAAACCGACGAAGTTTGAAAGTTCTTACTCTTGTCTCTTTTTCAATTAATGATAGGTAAATTTATAAGAGAGAAAATAAAATTACTGCTAATGTTTAAGTAAGTTAGGTATATAAAAACAGAAGTCGCTAAATCTAAGGAATATCAAACAGTCCTTGAAAATATATATTTTAAGGCAATTCGGCTTTGCAAGATTCAGTTTGTGTACAAATTTACAATATAAAAGAATATAACTAAACGAAAAAACTAACTGACGAAATGACACAGTTTTCTTCTAGATACTCGCGTAATGTTGTCGGTAGGTTACACTTTTCCTCTCATTTGAATATGCAGGGCATTTGATTAAACAATGTTGGACACTTAAACTGTTGAAAAACTTACCGCGCATTTTGTCTATGTTTATTTACATATTTAGTTTCAAAGTGATCTAAAAAATTCATTATATATTACATACGTTTCAAATTATATGTAGATATTATTATACCAATTTTGATTACATCTTTAATGATAATACATCTATTGTTGCAGGATATGGCTCAGTTTCACCTAGAACCACTTGGGGAAAGTTAGTCACCATCATCTATGCACTGATAGGTATCCCCTTGATGCTGCTGTATCTGTCTGCTACAGGAGATATCTTGGCTCGAAGCTTCAGACGACTATATGGAAAAATGTGTGGTGTTTCGCCTAAGCAGCTGCAGTGTCCCTGTTCGAATACAGTTAGAGTTCCAGTGACGTTGTGTTTAGTCATAGTCTTAGCCTATATTTGTTCAGGAGCAGTTTTGTTTCACCGATTGGAAAATTGGTCTTTATTGGAAGGTAAATATATAATATGAAATTTGATCAGATGCTTAAGCACCCCTTTTGTAATCCATATAGGCCATTTTATCAATACACAATTATTTTGGATTTATTATGTAACGTTTCAAATTATTTAATCTCTTAATTTTAATTTAACTCAAAAAGCAGTGACTTCTATGCGACCATGTATACGATTTTAAAACCACGCACTACAAATCTCCGAATATTTAAAAACAAAAGAGAAATCATACCATTTCTACCTGGCTATACCGTACTGAGGAGACCTAAAGAGGTCGAAATACGTACATGCTGCTTGTCGCTGCTCTGTATCGAATCAAAATTTAATACCGTCATTGTGTTTTGTTTCTTTACTTCGTTTGGAGTACCAGAAATCGAATTCACTACGAATATTGGCCATGATGAACGGCATTTGGAATGCAATTTTAGATTCCCTTGTCGATTTATTCATCAAGCTGTTTGCTTCGCAAGTTTTAGGAAGCACGGTGGCTGATATTTGCATTCGATTTCACCAGGTAGAAATCGTATGATTTCTCTTTTTGTTCTTAGATGGCGTAGTTACGTCTGTACATAGTTATTGTTGATAACTATGGTCCTATGACGGGAAAAGATTTTGTTTCGATACGGAGCAGTAACTATACCGTACTGAGGAGACCTAAAGAGGTCGAAATAAGTATTTGCGGCTTGTCGCTGCTCTGTATCGAATCAAAATCTAATACCGTCATTGTGTCTCCGAATATTTATCTTCAAATTATATTGAGTTTAAAACACTTTCTCTTAAAATCTAAGTAAGTCACAATAAGAACTTATCGATTTTAAACTGATTGGTGAAGAACTGATCATACGATCACCTGAGTTTGACTTAATTCAGACAGTCAAGGAAGATCGTTTTTGAAAAGTAGCGCCACTTCATAAATGAAGTCCTAAAAAGCTAACAGATCTAGTACCAAAATAAAATTGTTGTGAAAAATAAAATAACTATAACAGTTTTCAACGGAATACAATTTTATTTACAAAAAGTAGTTTTAATCAAACAAATTAATGTAAATAGATGGTTTTGTAATTTTTTTACAATTTTACATAAACGAAACAGAAAAAACGCATGTTATGCATATACTTTTTTTAAACAGACCTAAGTCCATTGACTGGTTTCAGTTTCTAAAGATCTAAGTGTCATCACAGAGTATTTCATAGTAGAAATATCTGATTTCTTGATAAATAAAACCTAACATGCTTCCTTAATCTTTTTTTTTTTTTTTTGTTTTCTGCTAGTTTTTCGACAAGTTGGCGCTCTTGGTTTTATTCTTTTAAGGACATCTATATTTGTGATTTTCGCTGTCCATGGTATTTTTAGGATACGGCGATAGAACCACATTTCGAAAGCTTCTAATCTGTTTATATCCTTCGTTTTTAGTGTCCAGCCCTCTACGCCATATAGCCGCACTGACCACACGTAGCACTTAGTAAACCTTAGTCTCAGTTGAAGATCGAACTCTGAACAAGTCAGTACCTTCTTGAATTTTACGAAAGCTTGTCGAGCTTGCTCAATGCGACATTTTACTTCTCTGCCCGATGCCCAGTCTTCAAAAAGCCACGATCCCAGGTATTTAAATTTACTCACTCTTTCAAAGGACTTAGTATTCAGTGTTATGGTGGAGTTTTAAGTGCATCCAAGTTTCTGGAGATGATCATAAATTTGGTTTTTTTGATATAACCTCTAATCCCATTTGTTTACTGTATTCTCCGATTATAGTGACAAGTTGTTCAAGATCGACTATGTTGTCACAAATTAAGACACCATCATCAGCATATCGTATGTTGTTGATCAATACTCCATTCACTTTGATTCCCATCGTTGCATACTCCAAAGACTCTTGAAATATGGCTTCCAAATAAATGTTAAATAAAAGAGGGGAAAGCACACATCCCTGTCGAATGCCCCTTCTTATATGTATGGGTTTGGATATAAAATTGTCTATTTTTAACTGTGTCGTTTGATGCCAGTAGAAGTTTTCAATGCATCTTATGTCTTTTGGTCTATATCAACTTCTTGAGGATCTGCATTAACTTGTGGTGTTGGACACGATCAAACGCTTTTTGGTAATCTAAAAAGCATAGAAACACATCCTTCTTCTGATCGTAACAATTTTGGACCAGCACCTGTGTTGCTACTATTGCTTCTCGTGTTTCTAAACCTTGCCTAAACCCGAACTGGGAGTCATTGATGTCCCATTCACATTTTTTGTATAATCTTTGATGTAGTATTTTTAAAAATACCTTTAAAGTGTGACTCATCAGACTAGTGAGTCTGTGATCCCCACATCTTTTTGCATTGACTTTCTTGGGCAGGGGAATAAAGGTAGAGCGTAACCACTGTTGAGGATAGCAGCCAGTTTCATAAATTAAGTTAAATATTTTGTGTAGTGCTGAAATTCCCCTTTCATCAAGTAATTTGAGTATTTCTGACGGGATTTCATCTGGTTCAGATGCCTTATTGTTTTTTGAATTTAATATTGCCTTTTCTATCTCCTCTTTGTAATTGAAGCGCCACAGAAGTTTAACAGGATCTTTTAGTGTTACGCAAAACCTCTCTTTAGCCCCCTGTAATGCCCAAGACCTCGATATGACTAAATAAATCGTATCTATATTGAATTAAAAGTTCAGTCGCTTACACGAATTGAAAATTCAGCAGCCTTACGGTGAAAAATTATTGCGATCAGAAGATGGTTCTCTATTTTTGCTGTACATTGTAGCTGCAGAGTAAGCTACAAGAGCATATGACGTACTCTAACTAATTTGAACATAATCGTGTGTAATTATGACATCAAGAATTTGTCCTTAACAAATATAGGCCATGCACTAGAAAATCTGGATTGAAAGATAGTCAGAAGTATCCTTGAAGTACTCTCTGTTGCATATCACGAAGAGATCGTTTCCATTAAAGACAGTTAACTGTTATTTCTTTTTGAGAGCTTTGTGCAAAGCTGGATAGTCCTGTAGATTTTACCATCCTGGACTTCCATATAAAATTTCTGATTTGTGTTAAGATCTAAGAGGTGTAGGGTAAGAGTTTTTACTCCTCACTGTCATGCATCTTGAATTGGGCCAACTATGCTGTGGAAGAAATTTGCTGGAGTTTTATACATATTTCATACTTAAAACATTTAAATAAATTAAAAGAAAATGTGTTTTCCACAAAAAAATATATAGTGAGTCCACTATATTATTATACTTAATTTAATTTGTATACTATTTTAGTCTGTAATTTATATATAATTACATTTGTCAATTTCTTTTACTTTTTGATCCTAGTAATCTGCCAATCAACAACAATAATATATTCTTCTTCTTCTTTCAGTGCCTATTCGTTCCGAATATTGGCAATCATTCTGGCTATAATTATTTTATTGACTGATGCTTTAAATAGATTCGTTGTTGTTGTGGAGAACCATTTCCTCAGGTTCTTCAACCATGATATTCTCCTTCTCCCAATTCCTCGCTTTCCGAATACTTTACCCTGTAGGATTACCTTCAGTAATCTGTATTTAGTGCTGTTTCTCATTATATGTCCGAGATATTCCAACTTTCTCCTTTTAATGGTATACATCACCTCTCTTTCTTTGCCCACTCTTCGTAATACGGTCTCGTTGGTTATCTTGTCTGTCCATGATATCCTTAGAATTCGCCTGTATAGCCACATCTCGAAGGCTTCAAGTTTTTTCTCCATTGCTTCAGTTAGTGTCCAGGATTCAACTCCGTAATACAATATTGAGAAGATATAACATCGTAGGAGCCTTACTTTTATCTCCAGATTAAGATTGTGGCTTTTAAAGAGTTTGGCCATGTTATTGAATGCACTCCTAGCCTTCTCTATTCTACATTTTATTTCCTGTGAGTGATCCCATTGTTCATTTACTGTTGTTCCAAGATAGTTATACTGTTTTACTCGGTCCACTGGTGTATTATTGATAAGTAGTTGAGCGTCTCTAACTTTATTTTTGCTGATGATCATAAATTTAGTTTTTGTTATATTTACTTGAAGTCCAAATCTTTCACTTACTTCATTTACTTTGTTTATTAGTTGCTGTAAACTGTTCAAACTGTCTGCAAAAATAACGGTGTCGTCTGCATAACGGATGTTGTTTAGGCGTTCTCCATTTAGAAGTATTCCATGTTCGCATTTTTCCAAGGCTTCACTAAATATTTCCTCTGAATATAGATTAAATAATATAGGTGAAAGTATACAACCTTGTCTAACGCCTCGTAGAATCTGGATCATTTCCGTTGGTTCACCTCCAAAATTCGTTCTTATTGTGGCTGATTGGTTCCAGTATAAATTTTGTATTATACGCCGATCTTTATCATCCATTTGGGCTTTTGTTAGAATATCCATCATTTTTTGGTGTTGAACTGTATCAAATGCTTTTTGGTAGTCCACAAAGCAGGTGTAAATATCGCAAGTCATATCTCTGCATCTTTGAAATAATACTTGTAGACTAAACAGTGCATCTCTTGTACCTACGCCTTTCATGAATCCAAACTGTGTGTCTTGTATTCTCTCTTCGCATAGCTTGTATATTCTACGATGTATAATTTTAAGAAAAAGTTTTAATGTATGGCTCATTAGACTTATTAGCCTATATTCTCCGCACTTTTTTGCTCCCTGTTTCTTTGGTAAGGTAATAAATTCTGAAAGTAGCCAATCTTTTGGGATATTGCCTGTGTCATAGATATTATTGAAGATTTTACATAGTACTCTTAAAGATTCATCATCAAGAAGTTTAAGAAATTCAGATTGTACTCCGTCTGGTCCTGGAGCTCTACCTTCTTTTAGTGATATTATGGCTGCTCTTATTTCTGCCACTAGTATAGGTGGTCCTGTTTCCGTAGGTATTGGGGGCTGGTTCTCTCTCTCATCAAAAAATAAATTTTTATGTAATTTTTCCAGGTATCATTGATACTCTCTTTGTCCACGATTATCTCTCCATTGTCATTAACAAGTTTACTTATTCTTCTGTTTTTACATTTACCTGTAATTTCTCTTACCTTCTTATGCACGTTGAAGTCGTCGTATTTACTTTGGAGAATTTCGATTTCTTGGCATTTTTTCTCCAGTTCTTTCTGTTTGGCTTCTCTGATCTTTCTCTGTATCTCTCGCTGTAATGTTTTATACATGGAGTTATCGTTCTTGTTTTTCCTTCTTTCTTCCATTAGTTGCAGAATCTCTGTCGTCATCCATGTCTTATTCTTACCTTCTTCGTTCTTCATAAAATTGTCTTTAATGTCGTCTATTGTTTTCTTAAGGGATTCTATCTTATCTTCTGTGCTTTCCGTTGTATTATCGATTTCTTTAAATTTTCTATTTAATGTTTTGCTGACTATTTCTTTTACTTCGCTACATTTCAGTTTTCTCATGTCATGTTTTTTTACAGTTTTTCCGCGTATTTTCTTTAACTTAGTTCTATACACGCCCACTAAAGGATTGTGGTCAGATTGAATATCAGCGCCTGGGTAGGTTTTAACACTGTTGAAACTATTTCGATATCTTTTGTTAACAAGCATATAGTCTATTTGATTTCTAATAATAACGTCTTCTCCGTTGTCTCTAGGTGATTTCCACGTATACAGGCGTCTAGGCGGTAGTTTGTAAAATGTGTTTAGCACGATTAAGTCATGCTCAGCTGCAAAGATACTCATTGTTTCTCCGCGTTGATTTCTCTCTCCTAATCCATGTGGACCAATATGTTGCCCTTCTTTTCCGTTACCTATTTTTGCATTGAAATCTCCCATGATTATAAGGAGTTCGTGTCTCGGTATATCTCTTATAAGGTTGCTTATTTGTTTGTAGAATTCTGATATTTCTTCATCACTATGGTCTGCTGTGGGGCATAGACTTGTATGATGTTTGTGTTCACCGGTGACGTATTTATTTGTAACAGGATTCTATCGTTCACTGGTATAAAGTTGTTGACTTGTTTGGCTATACTTTTAAGCGTGATAATTCCAACCCCATTCTCATATTTACCATTTCCTGATCCTAAATAGTATACTCTGTAGTCTTCTATATCACAATAACTTGAGTCAGGCCATCTCATGTCACTTATGCCCATTATTTCTATTTTCATGCGTTCCATTTCTTTAATTGCGCATTGGATTTTTCCTGATTGAGCCATCGTCCTAACGTTCCAAGTGGATATCCTCTTCAGACAATTCGTGTGGACTTTTCTTAAAGGTGTTTTTATTGGGTATTTCATAGGGATTTTGCATATTAACGACCTGAAGGCCCTGTGATCATGGGAATGACCTCTCTTGCCGGATCTTGGTCTCCGATGTCCGTGATCAGTATGCGACTTTTTATTGAGTTGTACAGCCATTATAATTGTACTAGAGATATCCATAGGGATCTTTAATATAGTGGTTTCTCGTTGCCTTCTATATTCTTATGCCGTTGACCAAACCATTGATTCTTCCGCCTTTGGGCCGGTTTTTTGGCCCCAGACAAAAGAGTGCCCTAACCACCTCCCAACTCGTCCGCCCGGAGCCGTGGTCGGTAAGTGGGGGACTGCTTATACCGGCAATCACTCGGTCCCTATCTGCGTTAGCCATCAAAATTGATGTTGCCCGTCCTCTACCGCGTGGAGGTGCAGATTCGGATTTTTTCCTTCATCGAGATTAAGACCTTTCGGCATTTCCTAATCTCTCCAGAGCTTTAGAAGACAATAATAATATTATTAAGTATAAAAAAATCGAAATATTTTTTTAGGAGATATAGTTTGCAACAAAAATGTTGATTTAAATGATGAATTAAAAGATTTAAATGAAATAATATATTAGAAAATTAAATAAATGTTTTAATTCTTTTTTGTAGGTAGTTACTTTTGTTTCACAAGTCTTGGAACTATAGGATTCGGTGATCTCTTACCAGGCCAAAAAGCGGAAGAAATTTCTCTTTGCGCATGCTCGGCCTACATCCTAACAGGAATGGCGCTAGTGGCGATGTGTTTTAGCCTCGTTCAAGATGAAGTTCTTAGTCTATTACGATACCTAGGAGCTAGCTGCTCAAAAAACGAGTTGAAATTAAAAGAAGACGAAGCTTCTTGACAAAGACCTACAACGGAGGGCGCTGCACCTGTGAAAACTATTCCAGTAAGAAAAGCACCCACAGCTTTACACCACAATAGTTTACCTAGGAAGAATCATTTTCAGAGGAATACTCCCGGACGGAGATCAGCTGGAATGGGTATGTTTAAATTTGTGTATATTAATTTAGATGACTTTATTACAGATAAAAAATACGTATTTAAAGATGTGACTGTTCTTAGTAGATTGTAAACAAACACCGGCCACAGGATAACATGCCAATCAATTTAGATAGAAGCCATATACAGGGTGTCTCAGACTAATTTACCCACGCTATATCTCTTGGCTTCGTAATCTACGTGAATGGTTTCGGGTGTATTTTGATTGAACTTTTTAGGCGCGCTGCTAACAAAGTCGCAGTGGCCATAATGATTTCCAATCTCCGCTAGGAGTGGCACGAGAAGAAGAAGAAGATGTCTTGGATCTGATCATACAACTTCCCGACTTCATCGTCATATTTTCTATCTGCAGTCGGGGCCTAGATTTAAAGTAGGTTAGTTTTAAATGGTTCAGTATTTATTTGGAGTAATATTATTCTATCCGAGACTGGTACAAAATTGGTCACATATTTACTCAGTTTTTGATGTTACTAATATACCTACACCATTTTTGTGATGCGGGTACTGTTGATAGTGCGAAATATTGTGACATGCTAAATGGTTCTCTTCTTGAAACGGCTCATGTTTTATATCCAGAAGGGTGACATTTTCAGCAAGATAATGCAAGATACCATACTTCTGCTTATACTCAAGCTTGGGCGTAATCACACGAATTAGCAACAATTTCGTGGTCAGCAGCATCTCCAGATCTTAGCCCCATTGAAAACATATGGGGACTGATAAAGATTAAAATGTAACGAGCAGCTTCACGAGATAAAGAAGGTTTGGTTAGGTCAGTTTTACAGGTCTGGAACACCATTACCGAAAATTATGGTCTTGACCTAGTTTCAGGTGTCTTCTTCTTAACGTGCCCTACCAAGTCCCCTTGACGTTGGCGATTAACATGGCGAAACTGTCTCTGTCTCGAGCTATTCTAAAGAGTTGCTCAGCTTTCCTTTATTCCTGTCCACTCTCTGATATTCTTCAACCAAGAGGCCTGCTTTCTAGCAATTCCTCTGCGTCCTCGATTTTACCCATCCTAATAAGTTGAAGAATATTATATCGGTCTCCCCTTACTACGTGTCCAAAATAGGCACCTGTTTCCCAGTTTCGGGTGTATCTGGCGTTTAGTTAAGTGTCTGTATTTAAATAATGAATGTTGTATAAATAAATTAGACGAATTATCTGTTAAACTTTTATATTTCAAGTGAAAGAAATAAATACTGTAAAATTAAAATTCTGCTTTTTTTCCGGATACTTTCTAGACGGACTATATATTGTAAGAATGTATTTAAATTCTATAAAATTCATGTTGATTACTTATGTATTTTTAATATAAAGTAAATTTATTTTAGGAGCTGAGCCTCTGATAGAATATTTCGTCCCCAGAAGCATTAGCGAATTCGATCTGTCAGTAGCAGCAGAAGATACGCCCATCAGTAACACCTTTCTTCCTCTTACCGTTCGAGTACCTCGTAAAATGTTCCCAAAGCAAAAAGAAAAGGTAGTTACGTTCGAAGACGAAATGGCATCTCGTCTGAGCAAAAATCCCGAGCTTCAGGACGTCTTCATGTGACACAAAGGATAACAGTTAGAAATAGGGGGAGGGGGTTCTAAGTCCGTTGATTCTGGCGGTGAATATATCACCAAATTAAGTGACTTAGCGGGGAAAACTAGCGAATTAAGTGAACTTAGTGCTGCTTTAAGTGACTTTAATAATGCCAAAAAGGATATAAAATCGTTTAAAAATTTCAAGATATGCGAGGACTTGAAAAAGTGCGAAGAAGGTTGTTCTTGTAATGCCGAAGCTGATTGTGACATTTGTAAAGTGTTAGACTTCACCATGAAAAAGGACAAATTATAGTCTTTGATAAAGTGATTAATAACATTTATACGATTTTGAATATTTTGTATATAATGCAATATCTAGTAAATCGAATCGACGACTAGTTAAAAAAACAGGGTGCTAAAGAATGAATGATTATAGATATTTATAATTATGTAAATATCATTTTAATACTTAGATTGATTTATACATTAATACTATATTTTGATTATACATGATTTATTCTATTTATTTAGCGTATGGCTACATCACAGGGTCATATATATACATATAATATAAATTATATAAATTACAAACAACAGTAAATACAAAAATATTATTCTACAAACTAACATCTAGATTATAAATATATTCGATTAACTCTTTTGTAGCAGCCAGGAAATCTGAAGGGTTGCCGTTATAAGATCTAATCGGGCATTCCTCTACCATGTGTTTTACTCTTTGCCTTTCCCCATTGTGATTGTATTTTTCCCCATCTAAAAAGTGATCGGAACATCTGCCACAGTTTGTCCTTATTCCATTGAGTGTGGTCCAAATTCGTCTCGGTTGGTTGAAGCCCTCAGGTTTGCTTCTAATACATGGCATGTTCCAGTTAGCTGGTGCAGCGTTATTCTCCCATTGTTCTCTCCACCGTTCAGTTACATTAAAGTTTTGATCTACTAGCCTTTTTGCTGTTTTTAGAGGCGGGTGTCTTGAACGGAGCCTATTTATGTCTCTGGCGGAAGTTCCGACATGGGAGCGGAGCTCAGGATCAATATTGATTTTTGTAAATTCTCTGACAAGAGCATGTTCCCGGCGGATGGGTGGTGGAGCTATATGACTCAAAGCTGGTAACCAGTAAGTGGGCGTGGCCTTGATTGTGCCCGATATAGTTCGCATTGCTTGATTGAGTTGGACATCAACACGGTGAGTATGTGGACTGTTTATCCATACTGGTGCACAGTTTTCCGCTACGGAATACTGTGCACCAGTACATTCTACATGAATAATTCTGTGACTGAGGTAAGTAAGCACATAAGTCAAATTTTCCAATTTTTTTTGCGAAGTGTGCATAATAACCATACTCAGAAAATATCGACTTGAGTTTGTGAATAAACACTTAAGTCGACTTATGTGAAAAGAGCCAGTTGAAACTTGCTGTCTCTTGTCGTCCCGTCGGTGACTTATGTTACTAGGCGTGTATGAAACGTTATAATACAGAAAAGAATTTAACTTAAAACAGTTCAGTTTGGTTTGATATTGCGACTAACACGAGTGTAGAAGTTTTTTGTTTAAAGTGTCTGTTGATGATGAGTTGACAGCAGTTACATTCCTAAAAGCAATTCTGTTTCAATGACAAATAATAATACTACAAGCAAAAGCAGTTTAGAGCGTAAAAAAATCACGTCAACAGCTGCAAAAACCACCGGACACAAGAAAGGCTAGAGAATTACAAAAAAAAATAGTACTTCAGGTAAGTCACTTTCAAAAATGATGAAATAATTCCAGAAAGACCACTTCAACCGCTGCCACTTTGCCGAACAAAATGCAAAACAAAAATCATTGAAAATCCTCCTCTTCCTAAGTGCCTTCTCTATTGAGGTTAGCGATCAATATGGCAAATTTCTCTCTGTTCTGGGCGTGATGGATTAAGTCATTTCCTGTTGTGTGAGTCTAATCTCTGATGTTTCGGAGCCAGGATTTCTTCTTTCTTCCTATACCCTTTTACCCTCGATTTTGCCTTCTAATATTACCTAGAGCTGCTCCAATTCCGTATGGCGCATTATGTGTCCTAGATATGACGTCTTTCTAATTTTGATTGTATTAACCAGATGAGGTCGTGTGTTCATTATTTCCAGTACCTCTTCATTTGTAGTTTTGCTGGTCCAGCTTATTCTTAGCATTCGGCGGTACATCCACATTTCGAATAAATTCAGTTTGTTGACGTCATACTGTTTTAATGTCCAGGTCTCACAGTCATATAGTTTATTATTATTTCTTATTGTGATTGATAGCTTGGGGTTACAGAGCATTTTACGCATGTTCATGAAGCCAGATCTTGCTATTTCAATACGTCTTCTAATTTCTTTTGAGTGGTCTAGCTGACTGTTTAGCTCTCTGCCAAGGTATATGAAGCTTTGGGAGCTTTAAAGGGTGATACCATTGATTTGTACGAAATCAGCTAAAAGAAATTTTTCCCAAATATTGAAGTTTACGCAGTTACAAGAGAGCAGCTTATATGGTCAGTCTTTTCATCACAGATGACAAAAAAAACACAGAGGCCTCGTACAGACGATCCAGACAAAGAAAATTTTCACCTCAAAACCTACAAATACTTTTTACGAAGAAATGGTAGCCATATTTCTGTTTGCCGTAAATGCTTTCTTGTGACTTAAATGAAACAGACAATTTCCTAAAAGTTATCGCCTAAAAAAAAGAGCATAACCTGTGAAAACAAAGACTGATTTTGAACAATGAAAGAATATTCCACCAAAAAGTGGTCTAAAGAAAAATTAAAAGAGGTCAGTAACCATATTTTGAGTTTCCCGAGTTACGAAAGCCACTATTCACGCGCCCAAACACATAAAAAGTTTCTACCATCACATTTGACCCTAGAAGCAATGTATTCCCTGTACAAGGAATCATACCAAAACCTTGTATTGTATCCATATTATAGATCTGAATTTCGTAAATTGAATCTGTCTTTTAAAAAGCCTTAAACGGATATTTGCCATAAATGCGACAAGTTAAATGCTTTTCGCTGGCATAACGTGCAATGAATAAATTATATAAAAAGGGGATAATGGGAAAATATTTGTTAAAAAATCCTTAAATGCAGAGGAGCCATTTAAGGAAATTTTTTTTAAGAGACGAAATGAGGCGTCATCTGCATAATATAATATTTGGATTTCTTTGTTCCCCATTCTGTAGCCATGACCTGTACGTACTGCTTGTATTATTTTGTCCATTATTATATTAAAGAGAAATGGGCTTAACGAGTCACCCTGTATATACCCGGTATACACTGTGTTAATTTTCATTTACCTTTGTCTGTATTCGATTATAGAAGTAGATGTTTTCGATGGTTTGTATAATATTGATTGGTATGTTTCTTTTGTACAGTAGGTAAGACATCTTCGACTTGGATGCGATCGAAAATCTTCGCTAGGTTTGTAAAACATAGATATGCTGGTTTATTGTATTCAATGTCATTTTTTGTGATTAAAAATACACTGTTTATGTAGGATCCTCCGGATCTGAATCAGTTCATCTGATAAAGTTGTTAGTTTATTGATTTTTTTGGTTAGGACTTTTGTGGTAAGCTTAAGTGCGGTGTTTAGTAGATTTATACCTCTATAATTGTTGAGGTCTTCTTGATCACCTTTCTTTAACATTGGTATCATTATGCCGTTTCTACTTTTGTGTCAATTTATGGTTATTTCTACTTCCTGAAAACTGATTTTTATTTAGTGTCTTAATTCAGGTACGGTATTGTGTTGATTAATATTTTCCTTTGCTTTAAACAGTTCCGTCAGGTATCTTTCCCATAAATTTGTCTGGTATGTTATTGTATTCCTTTAATTCTGACATTTTTTCCGATGGTTTCTTATGAATCTACATATTAGTTTTTGTGTACCGTAGAAGTCGCTTTTTATCCTTTCTGTAAACTATTCCCAGTGTTCCTGTGAATAATTGTCTATTTATTTTAATTGTATGCTTGCTCAATAAGCAGTAAACTTGTTGATCATTTATAAAGTATATATGATCAAGATTTAAATAAAAATTTTTTAAAAATCGCACAAAAACTGTTATAAATTGTATACAAAATACACTCAATTATCTCATCCCGTTTGTTCTTTTCAACTTTCGCTTTTTGAGTTTCCCCCTGCCTCGGTTGACTGGAAATCAATAATTGTTCACAAAACAAGAACTTGTTGTCTTTTGTTTTAATACTTAAATTATTTTTAGACAATATATCTAGTTCTTTACGATATCATTTCTTTATCATCCTGTTTTAAGTAATCAGTTACTTTGTTGAAGTAAATGTACTAAGAAACTGCTCAAAGTTTTCCTACTTTTGTACATTTTTATTTTAGTGTATATGAATACCAAAAATATAGTAACTTGTATCAGACGATTGTATTATAAATGTATAAAACGCGGTTTTCTTTAAGTTGTTCAAAACGTAATATTCAAAATGACGTTTTCATACGTTTCTATTTTGTCAAGATATGTATTTTGTGTTTAAGATTAATCATACCTCACAACTTTATACGAGATTTAATAAAGTATGTACCTACTTGTTTCCTCACAAAAAGAAGACAGCTCATGGAAAAATACGGCTTCAACTACAGAACAATTAAGAAATTAAATGAAGATATCCACATGTAAATCCAAAAATACGTAAGAGAAAAGAATACAAGACGAATAACTAAAATATTTTAAGAAAACAAAAGTTTAAAAGTTTTGAGGCTAAATACGAACAGCATAGGCAGCAAAATTATGTACAAAATAAATAACAAAAATGGAAATTAATTAAAAATCCTGTGTAAAAGGTATATATTTAAAAACCCAAACGAGCTAAGTTAGACAGACAAAACGTTTTCGGAATCTATATTCCATCATTAGGAGTACATTCATGTACTCCTAGTCACTGATGATGGAATATGGATTCCGAAAACGTTTTGTCTGTCTAATTTAGCTCGTTTGGGTTTTTAAATATATACCTTTTACAAAGGATTTTTAATAAA